ACTCTTGATTTTGGTATCTAGTGCAGATCTTGTCCACTATTTTCCCCCTCTTAGGACTTCTTCAAAAGCAGATTCTGCAGAGAAAAAGATTGCTTCTAAGGAAAAGTTTGGATTTAGTAAACTATATTTTTCTCCTTTCTTTTATTAAGAATAATGATGTTTCGTTTCAAGGTGTTTCTAAAGAATCTTTTGCTGAGGGGGCCACATCTGAGCAATAATTGGATGGTGTAATTTCAAAAGAGAGATTACCATTTTCTGCTTCATCTTAGGCAGTTTAGTGGGCAGTCTTTTGTATAACCTGAATAATTTCCAGCATCTATTAAAACCTAATTAGAATGTCTATTACCACCTCCTTTGTTTCATTAAAAGCTGTAACAAAAGGCTGTGATTTCACTGTTGTTCTGTTATTTTCTCCTTTTTAGTCCCTCCCCTCCCATTTGTTTAACTTCTAAATTGTGCTTCCTCACTCAGACTTGAGCAATACTTCTATTTTTTCCTCCATTTATTTAGAACACTTTTATCTAACTCACCTTCTCCAAGCCATCATAGTTTTCTTTGACTGAGGCATTAGTTTTAAACAATAGAGGAGTCACAGGAGCTAGGTTTGCACATAATGTTAAATTGGAAATAAACTTCCTGAGTTAATTTACTTATTTCAGTCCTCTCTTTGTTCTGTGAAGCTTGAGGGATAGTTATTTTCAGTAGGAAGTAACTGTGGCACTCCAGATGTTGCTAACTACTAGAATACTCCCAGCATCCATTGCTATTGGCACTACTTCCAAGGGAGTTGTAGCTGAGAACATCTGTCTCTTAAATCTTACCCAAGATCAGCTAATGAACTGAAGGATGGCATGATTTGAACCTCAGTTTTCCCCGTTTCACTCCAGCACTCCCCCCACCCATTTAGTTAAAAGTAGGGCAGCCATATCTTGATTCTAAAATCAAGATAAGTACTAGTGTCAACAAACAGAGGTAGGAGAGATTCCTGAGATTTTAGAATCAGGAGTGCTGGGCCTTTCTTCTGTATTGTTTCCTCAGCTTAATAGCTACCTACCTGCTAGCTAATATGAATGAGATGGAAATTGTAGAGTTCAGTTTAACCATCCCCCACTCCTGGGAGGGGAGGACATGAGAAAAAAAAAGGTGATGAAATGATGTTGAATAAAATCTAAAGAGAAATATTCCCTGATGTTAATGGAACAAGGGCAAGATAAAAATGGAACAAAATGGCTATTTTGGGAAGGCTTACTTAATGGACACAATTCAGATCTCCTGTGGCACATTTGCTATGGCTTTCATACCTTCTGCTGCTTCAATTTCTAGGAAACAATTTTTCCTCCACAAAATTCAGAGCCAGGTTGGAATGGGCAAGTGTATCACTTTTAGCTTAGTGCCATGTGGAAGACATTAGCAAGTGCCAACATCTTGGAAAATTTGAGGGTTCTATTTATATTATGCCGGCAGGAAATAAAGAGTAGACAGTCTGAGAGTGTAATGACTGGAGGAGGGAGACAGCCAGACAGAGACTATTGAGGATTTAAAGGGCAAGCAAAACTTAGCAAGTGGTGATTCTTTTTTAAATAAAACATATTGTTTCAAAGTAATGTTACATACAGCTTTACCCAACATCCATTATGGGTTAAATTACAATAGATCGGTTGGGATTATGGGTGCGGCATGGTAATTTATTTCAAGGACCCCACGCTGTGAAATATATATATACACAAACACACACAATCTGTTATAAGCTGCAGTGCTTTGGATAGATGTTTTATACCCCTAGTATTAGCACTGCATGTGGTTGTTGATTTAGCTTACTATTTTTTTCCATAGGATTGTTTTTAATGAGAAGCTGTCATATTACAAAGCATCAGGTTTTAGCTTCATCGTGATTTCCAGATATGCTTCTGGATCCCACATGGATCCCATTAAGACCCCACGTGCCCAGCCATGCTCACAGTGGGAGCCATTTTGTGACATGCCACGCTCACTTAATTCTATGGAGTCCTTGGTGCTGTGTGAACTTAATTGTTTTCTTGCAGAAAATTTCTTACTGGAATTAAAAATGTTCTGGAGTTAGTATGTTGCTAATTAATCATACCTAATCAAATATATTGTATATATTCTTTCACATCAAAAGACTAAGTCACTATTAAACCTGAAATAATATTGAGAATTGGGAATCATTGTCATCACTGAATGGGATTATACATACGGTAATAGGTTTGGTCCATATGGCCCTGGCTGGGGAATTCTGGGAGTTGAAGTCCACACATCTTCAAACTGCCAAAGCTGAGAAACACTGCTTTAATTTGATCCTATAATCTTTAATTTCACTCTTCACTTTAAACAATAAATTGATTAATACTGGCAAGCAGGTTGTTGGAGTACATGAGTGTTTAGATTTTCCTCAAAATGACTGAGAGCTTTCTCTCCCCAACTTATTCATTCTGCACCAGCCATGAAGAAAAATCCAAGTACTAAAACATTGTTTTAAACTTATTTTTGCTCTGTTTAGCCTTTTGGCACTTCTAAACAGCAAAAATCCCTTGATGGGAATTTTTTTATTCATCAGAATGTTTTCTCTAGTATGGATAAATAACAGACAAGGAAAGATTGATGCAGTGAGATAAACTCTGGAAACTGAATTGCAGATCTGAGTTATTCCCAAATGTTTTATACTGTCATGGGGACATATGTGGTGGTGGTTGGGAGCTTTGGGGAGTGATGAAACTATACAAATAGTGAAATAATAAATTTCAATATTTAATTAACATTGAGTCAATTAATTGATTTTAATATTCCAGTAACCAGCAGACTACCATAAAGATAGATTTTCTCCATGATAATCTGCCCCTCACTTGAATTTTTGGATCTTTCAATAATATATCCATCACCACTGTAACTGAGTCATCCATCTTGCTATTGGTTATCCTCCTCTGTTTCCTTCCACCTTTCCTAATGTTAAGAACTTTCTCCAGAATGCACATACATGCACCTGTCCATTTACTTGTAAAAAGATTTCAGATTATCCTTTTCATGACATTTCTGTTATTACGAGACCAAAAAATTTAGCTCTTTTGTATGCCTTATTATATCATCTATTTGGGTAGAGATCCCAGACATGCAGAAGATTTAAGATTTCTGAGCTAGAAGAGTTTTGCAATGAAGAATGGAAAAAATGATGAGAAGCAAAAATAAAAAGAGTTATAGCTGATTAAAGAAAATGTTTCAAGCATTATTTTTGCCAAAAGACATATAATATGTAGTGATTGGAAGGATGTCCAAACTTTTGCACCCATCTGTATTCATTCTTCATTTATTCTGAATATGCAAAACAACTGCACATAAAAAATAAGCATGCACCCAAATTTGCAGAAAGATTCATTGCTTAACTTTATATGGAGACTGTGTCAGGTTTTGTTTGCTTATAGATTTATTGGTACATGCAAATTGCAAATTGGTACATGCAAAGTGTGTATAAATTTTTGCATGTAACCATACATAATACATTTTAAATAAATCCTTAAAAAATCTATTAAGAAAAAAAATTAAGACACAGTACTTGAGAGTTTTTTCTGCACCTACAGGAAAGAGGCTGATGTCTAATGGAAGAATGCCACAAATGTGTGAGGCCTTGCTAACTTATCAAATTTATGCAAAAAAATGCAGTAGAGTTAACTCTATAGAGTTATGCTGACCTAAATTGGAGGAAATGGTTAGTATGGTTAATGCAAGTCAACAACTGCTGTTGATCTTAGTCCAAAAAGACCAAACAAGAAGTTATAAATCACAAATTCCCTGATAAGAAAATGGAATTGCATTTTTCTTTCAAGCAGAGGGAAAATGTTAGTATAGGAATAAAATTCATTTTTTTGCTTCAAGATAATCGGTTTCTATGTCTGTGTACGCTATGACTGATTTAATAAATAATGCAACTCTAAGATATTTATTGGGTTCTTGGTGTGTTTTCTTGGCCAGTTTTTTTTCTTGCAAACATTTTATTACTAGGCAAGATAACAAAAGTAATGAGAACATTAGGAAACCAATAATTTTCTCTGAGCTACTTATATTTGCAATTACTACCATTCTGGCATATTTATTTGGAAATAAGTCTGGGTATGTTTAGTAGAATTTTCTTTAAAATGTAAATACATGTGATTAACATTATAATTTTTCTTGATGTGTTGCCTTTCTAACAAATGTCTGTGCAATCAACATTAAGTAAGTGTAGTTCCAACACATTCCATGCAGATAATAGTTTTGCTGCTGATCTGAAAAATGGCAGATCTGAAAAAGTATCCAGAAAAGAATTATAATGATGATAAATACTCTAGGTATACAAATTGGCTGATTCTACAGATATTGCTAAATTATCAAATGGTCAGTATGATTCTGATTGGCATGGTTTATAACCCATTCAGCATATAGTTATGCTGAATGTTGCTTTTGTGTCTTTGCCAATAAACCACAATTAAGTCACTTCACAGCTTAGCTGGATATGTATGGTCCTTTGGATGAATAAGAAAAATAAAACCTTTGATCTCTTTGGTATTGCTTAATCTGCCATCCTTCTCTGAGCTTCCTTTGTTAGGATTTCATTGTGATCCAGATCATTTGGTGTGATTTATGAGGACTAGGGAATTAGGGAATCTCTCTTGAGCTGTGGTGTGCAATAGATGTGCCTATTTTAACTAGATCTTAAGTGTTAAGAGGCCAGTATTGCACCATGAAAAGAGGAAAATACTCTTGAAATAAAAAGCTAAGTCTGCTCATTTGCTAATGGCAATTCTACTGGGGGAGAGATTACGCAGACAAGGTTGCAGTCCCAAGAGAGAAACTCCCTCCTGTTTCTTGGCAGTGATTTATTCCCATCTCATACAAAGGCAGCATTTTTCCTCCACTATTCTTTCTTTCATTTGTGCGTGCATATGTGTATTTTAAACAAACCTTTTGCAGGATGCCAAATATTACTTATCTTCCTCCATTACAATTTGCAGCACAGGTTCCAGACAGTGACGAGCAATTTGTGCCTGACTTCCATTCAGAGAACTGTGAGTCTTGCAACTGGGGAGATGGAGAGGTGGGAAGGTCATGCTTTGATGGGGAAGAAGATGAAAAGTACCCAAACATGATCCCAACGTCTGAAATGCCACCATCTGATCCTTCATGCTGAAATAGCCAGAAATAGCAGAAAAAATAATCCTGGCCACATTTTTTGATTCTCCCCATGATACTTCTTCTACTTAATCTGCTTGTTGAACATTGCTCATTTTGATATTTCTACTCTTGATTTGTTCCTGCTGAATATTTTATTTTAAAACTTTGTTTTTTGGAAACATATTTGTGATAGTTGGAAGTTTTGTATCCTGTCAGATAACTTGTTAATATTTGACATTCAGTTATTGAAAATAGGGAGGATCCTTAAGACTTCTCTTGAGGGGCCACACTCCATAGCTAAAAGCCTCTGATTTCTGCTTTCAAATTGCTCCATTAATGGATCTAGCCATCTAGGAATGTTATGGGAATATTTTGGAACACAGCATGGAATCTGGACACAGAAATTTCTCTACATGTCTAAAACATGAAACAAAAGCGATACTTGGCATGATTTACTTTTCGTCTGTTGTTTTTAGTAGGAGTGAAACACAAAATAAATGTCCTTTCTATACTCTACCCTTTATGAGATAACAAACCTTAGGTAGAGGCCATTCACTGTCACCAATTTCCCTTGCAGGATAGTTTTTATATCCTGAACATTATTTACTTGCAAACTCAATAATATAATCATTTTAATTGCTTTAAAAAAGCTGGAGGACAGTGTTTTATTTATCTGAGGGGCCTCTTCCTGCCTAGATACCCTTCCTTTGCAATTATAAATCAAAATGAACATTTCTAGTCCTTTTGGTTTTGGAAATTTAAGGTTATATTATGAACAACATTCATGAACAACAAAATTCTCTTAAGAGAATTTTTATTCCCAAAACCAGAAAATATGGGATGTAACTAAAAAGATGACTCCTATTTTTCTTCATTATTAATTCAGTGGAAAGTACCTGAATAGCTTCAATGAATTTTCCCCCCTGTACATTTCCCTGTATTCTGTTAATTCATCCTCACCTTCTTCTCTAGCATGCACTTTAGCATGGAGTCCTGGCCTGGACAAGTTCCTGCAGTTGTCTTGGCAACTGCAGGAAGTGGTTTGCCATTAAGTCTTTCTTGGACTGAGAGAGAGTGACTGGCTCAAGATCCCCACACTGGGTTCATGGTTCATGGTTCATGGCAGGCCTAGAACTCATGGCCTCCTGGTTCCTAGCCTGATGCCTAAATCACTGCCCCAAACTGACTCTCCCTTACCTTTAGCCTAGCATATTTTCACTGCAAACCCTTTGTGACCCTAGGCCTGCATTCCATATTAGGCTTAGGTTACTGTTCTCTTCTGTTGTGTCTGCAGTACTGTTGCTGCTAGTAATGCCATAATGCTATAATTCTAATTTTATTTAAAAGCATTTCTTACATTTTTAGATTAGATTGGATCCTGATTTGGGAATATGTGACTGCAATTAAATGTGACTGACTACCTGTAAATTATGATTCAGTTCAATGAGTATAGTCTAAGGGTTTTATGAACACAGGAGACTAAGCAGAATTTTTAACAATCAAATTGTAATGATCCAAATCCAATCAAATACAAACTAAACACATTATGGCAGCAGTTAGTCACCTTTGCAGGCCTTTAGATGCCATTACATAATCTCGTTTGAAAGGCCAACCACACTCACAAAATCACCCAGATCTTATGAAATTTCAGCTGCCTCAATGCAAGATCTGGGCAGATTCTGCTATTATTTTTTTTATTAAATTAAAGAAATGTTCTAATTTTGAGGAGATGTAGGTATAGGCAAGGCAAGGGCATCTGTGGGGAGGAAGAAAAATAATCAAGATGAAGACCAGGAACCCATAATTAACCCACCCCCTTTTTTATGTAACTTGTGCTTGATGCACTAAAAGAGAAATGGATTTCTATGATATGGTGATTCTTCCTTGATTAAAATGTTCTTGATAGGAAGTAAATGACAAAAATACTTAAAAGTCATAGAAAAGAATATTCCTCTCATAGTTTCTCATAGAAACTTCTAGAACATCATAGAAATTCATGGAAGAGAATCTAATGGCTGACTCAGTATGCATCCAACCAAAGTGAGCATTAGAAGAAAGAGGCATGAAAGTTTGTTAGATGATTCTCGGTCATTCACCATCTCATAACCTGTCCTTTACAGGGTTAATTCTGTGGGCAAAAATTAGAAGACAGATAGCTGTGTGCAGCTCCTTTTGAAAGGTCAGGTTGTAAATCTACATTTAATGAACAAGCACAACATTCCAAGGATTTTCTCAGATGGAACTGAGATGATCTAATCTAAATAATTGTTGAAACAGAGGGATGGAGCTGCATGAAATATAGAAACTGCCTTATTTCATATAGAACAATTTTAGCAAACTATTGCCTATCTGGACTGGAATCTGACTCTTAGGCTATTTTCATAATCAATTTATGGATTCTCAAGCAAGAAGTTTAAATCTGGGACTTTTGCATGCTAAGAATGTCCTCTTGTACAAAGTCCTATCTCAGATTCCTTTGTAGCTAGGCTCTGCAAATATAATTCCGATGCAGGTTAAAACACCTCTTCCCTCCCCCCCTTTTCAAATCAGAGGGAACATCTAGTTCTCAGTTGCCTCTTTGGGATTGGGAGGGGAGGGAAGTCCTTGTCCTCTTGTTATGCTTGGCTGATGCAAACTCAGACTGATGTCCTTACTCTCCTTTTTTCTCCCCCACCCAGTAGCCCTTCACAGTCCTCCAGCTAAGATAAAAAAGGAACCACAAAGCCCATGTGTGGATGCTTCCAGTTCCTGCAGACACAGACAGCCTTTTCATTACCAACCCAGAGAGCAATGCTTATATGCCAGGTAATGCCGCTAGTGAGCAAATGCTGTCCTGATCACCTTGTGTTCCTGCAGTCATGAGTATTTGTCTTCTGTTAGGAATTGCCAAGAAAGCTAAGTAGAGGTTCCCTGCAGATATGGCTGGTTCAAGCAAGTTTGAGAAAAAGGCCAAGGCATGCAGAAGTCAACTGTAGCCAAACACCAAGCCTTACAACACTGTATTATCCAATAACTCACCACTATCTTGCATATTTTGAAGCTAAGAAAAACCTGGTGTCCATACTGGTTAGCAACTTAATATGTTGGGAGTGCTGATTGCTTGATAAATAATCAATATCAAGTCTATCCCACCCTCCCACCAGAGAGTATCAGTATCACCTAAATATAGGAATTTATCCATTAGCCATCAAATTAACTCTGATCATATAAATACAGTTATTGAAAAGGGATCAGTGGTGTAAAAGTAACGAATTGGGTGTTTGGCAATTCAGAAAAGTAAAATAAAACTATTAAAATTGTGTTTGGGGGGATGAAATGAGAAGTGTCAAAGGGACTAGGTGAAGTTAGATGATCAAGCTTCTGCTATAAAAAATTAACGAAGAAGGGCTCTTGGACATGTTATAAGTAGTATTTGCTATCAGTTCTTGGCTCAACAGTACACAATCTTTTATTCTTCAGTTTGCAGGTTGATTAGAATAGAATGCATAAAGACTCTGCATGTTTTAGAACCAATTCAAAAGAAGTGCTTTGGACCCCACAGATGCATAGCACCTCTTGACTAATAATTAAAGCATCCTGAATTTTCTCAAATATCTGTATGGACCTGAAAAAAAAAACCACCACTAATTTTAAGGCATCAGTGATTTGTGATTCTTAAATTCTTTTTTCTGGATTGCATGGAATCTTGAACAAGAATCAGTGTGTAGTGATGTATAGCCAAAAGGTGCTAGGAGTTTATGCAAGGTCTGAAGCCCTTCATCATTTTCACAACCTGCAGAGTTTTAATTTGCATTTTTATTCTAAACTGGGCAGACTGCCTCTGGAGCATACGTTCAATTCTGAACACTTTTAAAAAAGCACATACAAAATCTATGCAGATGGGGAGTTACTGCTGAAATCATTGAGTAAGTTTAATTTGGAGAGATGATTGAAAAAGACATATGATAATGATTCATTTTATCCTGCGAGTTTTAAATGATAGAGCAAAATTATCTGCTGCCAGAAGGGGTGCAGGGGATGGGAACTGGGAATCTTGACACACTGTTGGGAGAAGCATGAGCTAGTCAGTAGAGAAAACAAAGCTGCCTAAGAGAGGTGATGAACATTCTTCGGCTTGGAAGTATTGAAGCAGAGGTCAAATGTGCATCTGGCAGTGATGTTGCATTGAGCATAGGAGATGGCTAGATGAACTCCAAGATGCATTCCAATGTTATGATTCAAATGAAAATAATAGGCAAATAATGTTGAATGCTAGTTGCCTTCATTCAGCAAGAGGTTAATATATGATAACATCAGGCTGGAAGAATGGAGGGACCCTGATTAATTGTGGCCCAAGAATCACCAACTGTTTTGTTGTCCATTGTGACAAATTCTCCAGGATCCACACCTGCCTGATTCACACTTTGATTTATCCACTGCAAGGCCTTCTTTTTTGGTTGATTCTCTCTTTTTGATCCAGCTGGACCAAAACTTTAGATGGAGCTTTCCAGATTCAGGGAGTATAAGTAAATGAGAACCCATAGCCAGAAATGAGCAAGTCTCATCCTTACAACTCCCTTTCTCCACCTCTGAATTCAGCTGTGGAGGCAGCTGAGTGGGTTAGCTGGCATATTCTGGTTGTTTTCATCCAACATGCTTAACCAGTTTCCTAAATTAACCCATTTTCTGAATTTGTTTGCCATATTGAATCATAAATTATCAACTGGACTGGAAAACACAATAAGCCACCAAAATAGATTGACACAAACCTTTAAAAAGCACGACCAAGGTGTCAAGCCTAGCCTAAAATACAGTTGTTAGGTATTTATTTAATTTGATTAAACATTTATTTGGACAAATCTTCTGTGTAGGAATGCAAAAGAAACAGATGTAGGGTAAATCTTCAAAGTCATACTCCTTATTAAGTACCAGGCAGTATCTCAGTGTTGTATATGATAGTGGAGGTACCTAAAATAAATAAATAAAATTTGAAAAACAGCTCCAAATGTTGTTGTTCCTGTCCAATCAAGTGTTTCCTCTTTGGAATACTATTGTGGATGATCTCTAATGTTTGTGTTAAGATGCTGGTGGGTGGAGATGATTGCTTCAGCCTCTCACATTATCTCTCCAATCTTAAAATCCTTGTTGATTCTTTGTTCCATTGACATCCTCTACTTGCCCTTTAGGCCAAGTATGCAGTTTTAGTGTAGATTTCCCATGAACCAGGGAAAAATCTGTCACTGAGTCGTGCTATATTTCCTTATGCACGGCATTGTAAAAAAAAAAAAATATCCAACCCTTTCTGTCTCACCATTCATGAACTCTTCTCAATGGTCCTGACATTCCTTGTCCTGCTTTTTGCAACTTTCTATTTTCCAGCCTTTATTTGCCACATTTCAGTGTCTCCTCTCCTCTCCTCTCACCTTTCCTTCCCTCCACTCCCACTTCCACATGCAGGGTCTTGGATTCGAGTGCCATCTTCTAGCCTTTATTTATCCTCCAAGCTCTCTTAGGTCCCTCTCACTTGTCTTCCTATCCCTGTTCCTTGATATGTTCTTGCCTATAGAGCTCTTTTTACTTCTCTCCTTCAGTTTTGCCCCCTCCTGAAGTCCTCATCATATTTAAATGGTGCCATCCAATTTCCTCTGTTCTCTTTTCTGTTTCACCTCCTTTAAAGCAGGAGCGACCAACAGCTGAATTTGTTCTTTTGATGAGTTGCATATTAGAAGCCTGTTTCTAAAAATAGGTGAGATCAGAAGTTATTGAAAGGTAATTTTGGTTTAATTTACATTTCATAGAATGAATATGATTCCTTCCCCTGTGGTTGTGTCCACATCCAAAGCTTTCAGTAGTCACACATGTGCAGCTCTGCTTTAAAAGCATCAGCATGGCAACCTGTGGCTTAAGAATCATGTGGAGTCCTCAGTCTAATTTAGTATGTGTAGCAAGGATAGAAAGAAAGATAGGAGATCAGAAAGAAAGCCCTGTTCTTTCTGAAAAATATTGGTCATTAGTGTTAGTGCATTTGTCTGACTGCAAAATAAAAATCAGGTCTGAGTCGAGTTCTGAATAAATAACCTGTTCAGAGCCTATCTATTATGATGTATCAGGTTTTGCTGGGGAAAATGGGAAATACCAGCAGGAGGGAAAGGGATATATCTTGCTGCACCTGATGCTTGCACTTTTCTCTAGGCAAGATTCAAACAATGTGAGCCACCACGGCCCATTCCAGACAGCCCCTGGCCAGGCATACTGTATGGAACACAGGTAAGCCAATGCACTGGGTGGATAAAATTTCTAATATCTCTCACTCTACCTGAAAGGATAAGGGCAGCTTAATACATTGTAAGAACTCTGTTGCTTTCTCAAAAATTACCTGCCAAGCATTATATTCAAGCTGCTGCCTGGGTTCATACCATGGGTTAGGCTAAAATATCATTGCTTTTTTGGTGGCGTGGTGTTTATTGGGCACAACAGGGTTGGTTGAATCAGCATACATTGTAAATACTCAGTCCTGTGGGTTGTTAAAGTAGGAGTTCAAGCTACTACAGAGTTGGTTGGGAGACCATCACTCTTTGCCATTTTTTAAACTTTATGAAATACACAGTGATCCAAGTGAGGAGCTGGTTCTACCACGGATGGAGACACTTTCCACTCTCCCTGTCCTGGTTCAACCCTTGCCTCAAATATAATAGATGGTGACAGTGAAGCAAAATAGAGAAATGGAGCTCCTGCAGCAGCCCTACTTTGACAGCTTCCACCTCTAGGAATTTTCCTCCATAGCAGCTACTAGACAAAAGAACTAACATTATTCAGATGACACAGCTGATGGGGGGGAAGTTTGCTTAGCTCAAACAGAACTAAGAACCTAACAATCTCAACTGTATTGAGCAATTTACATGACATGCTATCTCTTTACCCAATTAAACATGTCCAGTGGAGGGTATTAAATAAGCTACTCTGGTTAATAGTTCAACAGGATCCCATCATCTCAAGTGGCATGTTGAAAGGGGATGATGGGAATTGTTTGGCTCAAACACCCAAAGAGTACTATATGGCTTACTTTCGCTTTGATAAACTTTGTTGAGCATAAGTGTTTCATTTCCTAATCTTGGATTCTATTCAAAGGAATGGTGGGTCCCCATGTTCTTTGTGTACTTTAAGGGATGATCAGATTATTAAATGCCTGTTCTTTATTTGTCTGCTTGTACAATTGTATGGTTTCTTCTGCATTCCTTTTAGTTCCTTGTACCAGCTGCATGCTGAGGCCAGCCAGTCCTTCTCTGCACCTCAGGCCTTGGTATCAGACAGTCCTTCCATTTATCAGCGCCCATGGTCTGCCCCATGTCTGCCGTATCCCTCTCAGGGCTTCAAGCAGGAATTCCATGACCCCATGTATGAGCAAGTGAACACACTGGGAGATGTAGACAGTTCCCGGTATGCAACTGGCGTGGTGATAAAACAGGAGCAGATGGACTATGCTTTTGACACAGGTAGAGTGCAAGAAAGTGGGAGTGTATTATAAATATATGTGTGTGCAGGTGTTTAGGACTAGTGTCAATTCTTTGGACCTGGTTTATCTTTTTTCTGCTACAGAAACAATCTGAAATTTTCTGGGTCCAGTTATGCTGATTAACAATCAAGGCATTTGGGCTTACTTGGCATTGCATGTAATACTATGCCCCCCCCCAAAAAAGAGAAAGAAGTGGGGAGGCCTCAGTACTGCTCCTGCCAAAATCTTGCATCCTTGTTGCTATTAAAATATGCCATTTGTTGATTTCACAAAATTGAGCACATAGAACATATCAAAACTGAGCACACAGAACAAGACTGATATCTGTATGTAAGTATATTTCCCAATGATACATCCATCCAGGAATCCTGGCATTGTGGGTTTAAACCAGCTTCCCCCAACCTCATGTATGCCAGATGTAGTGGTCTACAGTTCCCAGCACTCCCATATTCTGGTAGGGGATGAGGACAGTCCGAATTCAGTGTATCTGGAAGTTATCTGGAAGGTACCCCTTTCTTCCATACAGTATTACTATTATGTATTTTCAATATACTGTACATTATATTCAGATTCTCTTTCATACACACTTGGTTTTGTTATAAAAGTTTTATACATAAATAAAAGAACAAAAATCCTGCAGAGGGGTGTTTGTTTCTGGTGTTAATGTTCCCTTGCCATTGTGGTACAGAGGGCAGAGCACTAGGTTGAGAGTAGCCTTAATTCCATTGGCTGATCTTAAATGCTCAGTAGGGTTGAATTGGATTATAGTTGGTTGGGGGACCATTAGGTCTGTAGCATAACTGGCCAGTTTAAAAAAAAACCAGAGATTACAATGGGAAATCTCATCTACAAGGTTGCCAAGAAAACTGTATGGAGTTGAGCTTGATTCATGGGCATCTTCATTCTTACTTTCCTCCAGTGGCAACTGCCCAATCCATTTAATTAGTTTGCTATGACTTGGCAGGGAGAAAAATGCCAACACTTCTTTAGCTCATGAGAAATTCTTCTGTATGTTAAAATGTTTTAAGTTGCCTTTTTTCCCTTATACCCATTAAACTTCAAGTACGTTCCTTTTTCTTTTACTACCACACTTACCTATAGAAGAGGGATTTTTATGGATTTCCTGACCTTTAAATGTTAGGCGAGAAAGAGGAAAAACTATTCTGTCCCCTAGGGCTGGCAAGGCGTTGCATAACCTTGAGTCTCTACCTTCCTGCTGGTTTGGCCCAGAGCCTGTCTGTGTTGCTAGCTGGAATGGAAAGGAATTTCATTCACAAAATGGATGCACAGGAACTGGGCTCCGGATAGGGAGTGTTGGGTTTCACTGCTCGTGCTCTCCTGGTGGTGCAGCTGAAATCAGCAGGCAGGCTGGTAACACAAGCCAAAGCTTGGCTTACTGCCCAGAGAAAGTGGGAGCAGGAATAGAAAATGACACCTGCAAACCTGGGAGGGGGGGGGGGGAGGAAAGCATCCAACTGGCGTTTGAAGTAGGAAAGCCTTTGGCTATCCAGGAGAAACGCACACCCTTCCTGACGCTTTTTACAACTCCACATTTCCCAGGGGACAGCTATTAGTGACTTTCCTCACTTGCTTTTTCCGGCTATAAACTTCTTAAAGTGTCAGTGATTAAAGAAAAAAAAAAGATTGCATTATCCATGATAGCTGTCTTTTCAGGATTTAACCCATTAATACTGAATAAATGTTTACTTGCTTTCATTTTTCTTTGCTGAGTGTAATTATATGTGGGTAGATGGGGAGATAAAACTGTTAGATGGGAATAAAAGTGCCCAGTGAGTAATGGATTTGGCTATTGAAAGGTGTTTTTGTAGGTATTGATAACCTAAGGCCTTCTAGATGTTGATAGACTGCAATTCCCAACATCCCTTATAGCAGGTTAGTTTAGGTGGAGTTCCTAAGAATAATGGTTCAGTGGCAATTGAAAGATCAGAAGATCTCCAGATCTCATAAGAGAGGCACGATGTACATTGTAATTTATTTTAATCATTTTTATATTCCACTTTTTCTGTAAAAGCTCCACTTAAACATGCTTTGTTAAACTTACAGTAATATTATTCATTCATTCATTAGAATCAGATAGATGTCAAACAATTCCTGCAAAATAAAAAGCTAGAGCAAAAAAAAAAGAGTCTCCTGAAGAAAAATCATAGCAAAATTGGTCTTAAATATCTTAATGGGTATAAAAGTATGGATGGAAGTGAGTGCTCCAACAAGAGAATTCCCCAAATTAATTCATTTTGGATTTAATTTATATCCCATTTGTTTCCCCCAAATGGTATCCAAAGATAGCACTGGCATCTTTAGTAGCTATACATATAAACCAAAGCCAGCAAACCTATTTATTCCATGCTGTAATTTTTCTGTTTGAGTTACAGATGTGGCAAGCTGCCATTCAATGTATATGAATGCAGAAGGATTACCAAATTGTTCCAGTTCTGAAGGCATATTAGGTGAGAAAAATAATCTTGGGATTCTGGTAGATTTGATACAATTTTCTCTTTAAGATGATGATAATAATAAACAACATCTGCCTATCCCAAGTCTTCGGGAAGGACCTGATTAGTGGACAAAAATGCCAAATCCAATGTAAACATCTGGCTGACAGTGCAACCAATTTTCTGTGGATTGTTCTGGGAATAGGTTTGGATCCATGATTGGACAGAAATTAGTAGGGACAAATTCCACCTTGTATCATTTCCCAGAAAAAAGTCCAGTATTTTTCATAGCAAAAATGCTCTGTGTACAGAAATTTTCTAAAATTCTTAGCACATACCGCTTTGATTGTTCCCATAGAAAAATCTGTGGAGTGCAGGCAGAAGCGATTTGGTAGGCTTAAGCCTTCCTTTTACCCTACAACAAGCAAGTAAAAGATACAGCAGAGGCAAAGTCAGTCTAAAAAAATTCCACCCTGAAGAGTTCATAAAAAGTCAGGGTTCGAATTGCATCTGATCCTAGGACTCAGTTCTAGGATGCAAGGCAAACACCTAAACAATCAGTTACAAGAGCACATGGATTACATTATTTTTAGCATTGGGTTTCCTTTGGACTTTATCCAAGAGGGTTCAAATATTCACACAATAAGATTGCATCAATTATATTAAAGTACATTCAACACCAATGCCGACTTGTAGGTAGACATTTATTCTTGAAGAGATATTGAGTTGTTGTTTGTTGCTTATTGACTTATTGCTAGTTAGAATGAACAATATCAAGATGGACTTGGGATGTGTTTTATAAGAGGCAGATTCATACTTTCAGGAAAGATAAAATTCTCCCCAGTCCTGTTTCAGCCATAGTATCTATAAAGCATTCCCCCCCACCTTTCCACCCACAACTAAAAAAGGAAAAAAAAATCATACCTACTACTGAATATACAGCTATCTTAACTTCTGGGAGAATGATTAGTAGAATTAATACTACTAACAATGGAAGGTTTCATAATGATAAGAAAGTCTCACATGGCTAAATCTAGCTAATTGAAAACCTAAGGAGCAGCAGTTGTTGTGTGATCAGTCCTATCAATCCTGGCAAGAGTTTTGGTAGTTAATTTCCGAATGTTAATGACTTACATATATCTAGTAGAAATGCAGATAAGATTCTTGATATCTACCTGTTGTCGGGTTTGTTTGTTTTTTGCAGGCTATGGTTATGGGAGGCAAATGCGACCATTTGCAGAAGATGCTTGTGTTGTTCCTGAGAGGTTTGAAGGTCAGAGTCAATAGCATTTGGCTTTAGTTCCCTTAATACTCAAGCTACCCAATCTTCAAGATGAATATTTGAACTAAGAGTACATCTTTCATAAATGTAGTATTCCCTTAAGACAGTGGTTCTCAGCCTGTGGTCCACAGATCCCTGGGGGTCCACAATGTCAATCGCAGAGAATCCATGAAGGCTTGAAGAAATGTTATGATTTAAATCTTAAGTTAAGTCTTGGGGGTCTGTTCCATGGTTCGTGGCCACAAAAGATATTTAAAGGGAGTCCGTGGTGAAGAAAAGGTTGAGAACGATCACCTGAAACATTATTCCTCCACTTATAATAGACCACTCCAATTTTGCAAAGTTTACAGGTGCTGTCCTTCAACTTACCTCATGCTTTATATATTTGGTTGGTATCAAGTTGGCAAAGTTATATTTTAAATCTGAACTTGAACAGAATATCCACATATTAGTCCCAGGGAATATGTGGTCTGTGATATTTTATAGGTAGATATTTGGATTATGTTCTCGCCTTCCAGAGGGTGGATATCCAAGATGAAATCCACTTTTGCCTACTATTTGAGAAACATAAAACGTAGACTTCTAAATATCAAATGTACAATCCACGTTTAATTTTGTATCTTTGAAAACTTTGGAATTCACACAGGTTTGCTGATATTTCCCTCTTGCTTCTCAGTGCCTCTATATCTTTATCAACATACCTATTTGTAATCCCACCTGAGTTTCTTCATAGATGGTGTGATAAGGAGAAATATTTTGAAATATAGCAGCCTTCCCAAATGACCTGGAATTTTAATTTCCAAATTTCCAGCCATCCTCTGCCCAGATTTGTTAGGAAATCTGGGAATTGTCATCTCTCAATATTCCTGGAGAGCAAGAGGGTGGAGAAAGCTGGTAGATACAGTAGAGTCCCTCTGTCTTTTGCCTGTAGGGGAAGCAAAGTATCGAAGTTTGATTTCAAGATATGGCATGGGTCGTCCCCATGAACTTTCTCCCAAAAATTCAAGAGTTTTTTAAATAATTTTTTTCTTCCCTTTTATTGTATTGTATATGTTGTCTTTGATAGGGGATATTAAGCAGGAAGGAAGTGGATACCGTGAGGGTCCGCCGTATCAACGGCGTGGATCTCTGCAGCTTTGGCAGTTCCTGGTGACTTTGCTGGATGATCCAAGCAACTCCCATTTTATTGCCTGGACTGGTCGAGGGATGGAATTCAAACTCATTGAACCAGAAGAGGTGAGATTTTCTGTTACTTCTTTTAACTGAAAACCATCTTATATTACCCTTCATTGATTCTGGATTACAGGAACCTAGTTAAAACCATATCTGATATTGGAATATTGAGCGAGTGTCCTCCTAAAATTGTCAAATTATACTACTATGGAAAAAGAGTACAGTTTTATTTGCTGATTGCAATATCAATCAGCACTCTCAATTTATATTGATAATCCATAAGTTAAATGGATCTTTTGTGTTGGCCAACTTACTTCTTTATCCAGGCCCCACCTTGCCTTTAAAAAAGAATGCCCAATATGTGGTCAATGGCCACATATGGGCTATAGCCTCCGAAAAAGTTGCACATATCTAACTTTCTAATAATTGAACAAAACCAGCTTCAGAACACCACAAAAATGCACTTTCCATTGCTGAAAAGGGGAGAGTCTTCTGTATTAAAAAAGTAGATTTTTTTTCTTAACCCTTTAATGTAAATGTTCTTCCCAAATGCATATATAAATATGAAGCCAGTTATAAACCAATGAACCTATATTTTCTCAAACTGTAATTTCAGTTCGCAAGTCAAGTCTTTATATGGGATCAAAGTACATAGCCAAAAATCATTATATTGGAGAAGCTTCTTGAATGAGAAGCAAAATGTTTTCAAAGAAAACACCAATTCATTTGAATTTTTTAAGAGAAAGTGCCCGACTGTGAATAGAAAGTTTTAGTTTGTCGCTCCAAGACTGGTCCCAATTGGTTCGCACATAAATCTGATTTCCTCACTCTGAATTGGCCCTGCAGGTGGCACGACTTTGGGGCATTCAGAAGAATCGTCCAGCTATGAACTATGACAAGTTGAGTCGCTCTCTTCGCTACTATTATGAAAAAGGCATTATGCAAAAGGTTGGTCTGGAGTTTGATTGCTTGGTACATGCCATTTAAACTTGGGAAGGTGGGCACTCATCTGATAAAGAGCTGACAGAATTGTTAATCTCTCGTTAACAATTTCTAACAATATCTGGGGCATTTTGAACACAGATGATCTTAGGTTAAAGATCTATTCACTGTTTTTATTCAATATTTGATGATCTCTGGAGGGCTCGGGATAGGGGCTGTTCCTCTATCCTGGTCCTGTTAGACCTCTCAGCGGCTTTTGATACCATCGACCATGGTATCTTGTTGCACCGGTTAGGGGGGTTGGGGTTGGGGGGCACGGTTTTACGGTGGTTCTCCTCCTACCTCTCGGACCGGACGCAATTTGTGTTGGCAGGGGGGCAGAGGTCAACCTCGAGGCGCCTCACTTGTGGGGTACCACAGGGGTCGGTCCTCTCGCCTCTCCTGTTCAACATTTATATGAAGCCACTGGGTGAGATCATCCGTGGTTTCGGGGTGGAGTTTCATCAGTACGCAGATG